CGCCGCCGCCGCACCGTCGTCCCCGTCGTCGCCTTCGTCGGGCGCAGGCCTCGGGGCGCGGGGAGCTCCGCGCCCCGAGGCCTCCCTCGAAGCGCTGCCGCAGCGGCGGCGCCGCGCCGCCCGTGGCGCGCCGTCCGTGGCGCGCGCTGCGCGGCTCGGGCACTAAGGGCTCGCGAGGCCGACCCGACACGATCTCGACTGCGTGCCGACGCGCACGCCGACCTCATCCGAAGTAGAAGGACCCAGAAAAGACCAGGAACATACGCTTTCGACGGTCCGCGCAGACCTCCGAGGGATGATGGTTGTGCCATGTTTTGTTCCTGCAGATCGATCCTGCCATCCGCGAGCGACGCCCGCCCCACCCCTCCCCCACCCCAGGCAGCAGGCGGGCAGAGGAAGGCGGCTCTCGTGCCGCGACGGCGGCGCCGCGGCTCAGGCGCGGAGGGCGCAGGGCAGAGGCTGCTGGGAAAGCGGGGAGATTATGAGAACGGCGCCCATGCACCGTATGAGACGCAGACAGACATACTAGTACTATGCGCTCGGAGGCGCACGTCCCAACCGAACATATAGTACAACCTTTATATCTATATATATATATATATACATATAGTTACCCGATCAGTTTGGTCAGAACATATACTATAAACTTTCTGATCGCGCGTGTCGCCCCTGGGGGGGCGAGGCACACTAAGTATAAGTATGTTTCGGTGATGCCGACCGAACATGCTTGGACTCCATTCAGGCCCCGCTCCAGCGCGGTACGGTGCATAGTAGTTCGGCCGAATGACAGGGGGCCGAGAAACTATGCACCGCACCAGTCCTGGGCCAAGGATCGACGACGCCTCGGGAGACGCTAACGCGGTCCGGTGTACACAAGTCGTCCGCGGAGGGATCGGGCCGAGGCTGCCAGGAAATCGGGCACACACGAAGATTGATTAGAGATGCGCGGACCCGAGAAAACACCCCCCGAAACATGATGCAAATGCCACCCGATTTGGCGACGGAGCAAGCCGATTTTGCACGGAAACGGGACCCGTCGCTAATCCACGCGCCTTCATCCTTGTTTGTGCTTACTCTAGGAAAGAGGGAGGGCGCCGCCTTCGGCTGCACGCAGGGGTGGCCCCGCGAAACTCTTGTGTCCAAGTTTTGCTCACACCATGCGTCTTTGCAAGGTTTCGGCCCCAACAGAAGTTCCACAGCGCCCAGTAGTGCCTAAGAGGGTCCCCAAAACAACACCCGGAGAGGCCCAAGACAGCCCCAAGACCAGCCCATACCTTTGAACACCCACTGGTTGCGATATTTACAACGCCGTGACTCCCGCTCCGCGGGCGCAACCATCTGACTCCGAGCATTTTCTTAGGCTTTTGCACCTCGAAAATCAATCCGTCTTGTGGTTGGGTAGCTTTAGGGGTGAAGCTTGTGTTGTGTAGCAGCCTGTGTATATGCATCGCCTGGCCTCTGCTACGACGTCACGATTGCGCCCGCGCGTGATCGAGCACCGCTGATGGCCCGCACCTGGCAATCCTTGAAACAAAGCGTTGCCGCCCCGCCGATGTCACTCGTGGGTTGTTCGTGCCTCGACGAATCCACGCTCAGCATCTGCGGATGGCAGGCGGGCAAGAACTCTCTTGACATTGTCGCAACTGATTGTTTCGGATGTTGCCGGCGTCCCGTCCGGACCGGCCGGACCGAAAGACGATGGGCCCTGGCATGGAACGGCAGAAGGCCCAGAACCCCGTGGCCCCCCGATAGCTCCATTTTCACGCAGGGTCATCGAGGTGGACCTCGGTTTGAACCTTCTTCTACCACTACTCCAGAGTTAGGGTGGCTTGCTATCAGCAGGTGTCACAGCGTCGACCCCCAGAGGTCTCGACCCATTCCCTCAGGCCAGCTTTGCATCATGAACCGCTGTTTGACGGTCCTGGAGCTTAGCGAAGGCCTCAAGAGCCAGACATCCGGCTGCTCTATATTTTTTTCGACGCGTGGGCACTGGAGGTCTGGACCACTTCCCCGGGACAGGCTTTTCGTCCTGAGTCGACTTTTCACGGTCCCGAGGCCCGGCGAGAGCCCCCAGAAGCGAACACCGCCCGCTCCAATTTTTCCCAACCATCCTGTGGTGTTGGGTCCTCGTTTTGAAGAGACGGTGCCCCGCGTTCCTCTCCTTCCTCCTCCCCCTCCTCCCTCCTCCCCCTCCTTGCCTCTGCTCTCGGCACACCTCTCACGCGTTTCGTAGCCCCATAGGGAGCTCCACCGAAGGCCCCAGTGGGGGTGTCCACATGCGGTTCCCCCACCCAGGGCAGCGTTTCGTGGCCCCATAGGGAGCTCCACCGAAGGCCCCAGTGGGGGTGTCCACATGCGGTTCCCCCACCCAGGGCAGCGTTTCGTGGCCCCATAGGGAGCTCCACCGAAGGCCCCAGTGGGGGTGTTCGCATGCGGTTCCCCCACCCAGGGCAGCGTTTCGTAGCCCCATAGGGAGCTCCACCGAAGGCCCCAGTGGGGGTGTTCGCATGCGGTTCCCCCACCCAGGGCAGCGTTTCGTGGCCCCATAGGGAGCTCCACCGAAGGCCCCAGTGGGGGTGTTCGCATGCGGTTCCCCCACCCAGGGCAGCGTTTCGTAGCCCCATAGGGAGCTCCACCGAAGGCCCCAGTGGGGGTGTTCGCATGCGGTTCCCCCACCCAGGGCAGCGTTTCGTGGCCCCATAGGGAGCTCCACCGAAGGCCCCAGTGGGGGTGTTCGCATGCGGTTCCCCCACCCAGGGCAGCGTTTCGTAGCCCCATGGGGAGCTCCACCGAAGGCCCCAGTGGGGGTGTTCGCATGCGGTTCCCCCACCCAGGGCAGCGTTTCGTAGCCCCATAGGGAGCTCCACCGAAGGCCCCAGTGGGGGTGTCCACATGCGGTTCCCCCACCCAGGGCAGCGTTTCGTGGCCCCATAGGGAGCTCCACCGAAGGCCCCAGTGGGGGTGTCCACATGCGGTTCCCCCACCCAGGGCAGCGTTTTGTAGCCCCATAGGGAGCTCCACCGAAGGCCCCAGTGGGGGTGTCCACATGCGGTTCCCCCACCCAGGGCAACGTTTCGTGGCCCCATAGGGAGCTCCACCGTAGGCCCCAGTGGGGCTGCCGCATGCGGTCCCCCCCCACACAGGGCAGCGTTTCGTAGCCCCATAGGGAGCTCCACCGAAGGCCCCAGTTGGGGTGCCCGCGTGCGGTTCCCCCACCCAGGGCAGCGTTTCGTGGCCCCATAGGGAGCTCCACCGAAGGCCCCAGTGGGGGTGCCCGCATGCGGTTCCCCCACCCAGGGCAGCGTTTCGTAGCCCCATAGGGAGCTCCACCGAAGGCCCCAGTGGGGGTATTCGCATGCGTCTCCCCTACCCAGAGGTAGCGCCACCGAAAACGATATTCATATTTACAATATTCACAACTGCATATGGTTGGGTCCTTCGCCAGGCTAATTTTGAAGCGTTGGATCTCTGGGGAGGCCTAAAGCGGCGAAAAACCGACGCCTTGATTTTTTCCCAACCATCCTGTGGTGTTAGGTCCTCGTTTTGAAGAGACAGCGCTCCGCGTCTCCTCTCCTCTCCTCTCCTCTCCTCTCCTCTCCTCCTCCTCCTCTCCCCCCTCCTCCCTCCTCCCATCGCCGTCATCATACTCATCGTCATCATCATCGTCATCATCCTCATCTTCATCTTCATCATCATCATCATCATCATCATCATCATCATCATCATCATCATCATCATCATCATCATCATCATCATCATCATCATCATCATCATCATCATTCATCATCATCATCATCATCATCATCATCATCATCATCGTCATCATCACCACCAGCATCATCATCGTCATCATCATCGCCATCGCCATTAGTTCCCAACCATCCTGTCATCATCACCACCAGCATCATCATCGTCATCACCACCAGCATCATCATCGTCATCATCATCATCATCATCGCCATCGCCATTAGTTCCCATTTCCGCACACCCCTCACACGTTTCGTGGCCCCATAGGGAGCTCCACCGAAGGCCCCAGTGGCAGGGTTCGCATGCCGCCCCCACCCCACTTTGGCACACCCCTCACACGTTTCGTGGCCCCATAGGTAGCTCCACCGAAGGCCCCAGTGGCAGGGTTCGCATGCCGCCCCCACCCCACTTTGGCACACCCCTCACACGTTTCGTGGCCCCATAGGTAGCTCCACCGAAGGCCCCAGTGGCAGGGTTCGCATGCCGCCCCCACCTCACTTTGGCACACCCCTCACACGTTTCGTGGCCCCACAGGGAGCTCCACCGACGGCCCCAGTGGCAGGGTTCGCATGCCGCCCCCACCCCACTTTGGCACACCCCTCACGCATTTCGTGGCCCCATAGGTAGCTCCACCGAAGGCCCCAGTGGCAGGGTTCGCATGCCGCCCCCACCCCACTTTGGCACACCCCTCACACGTTTCGTGGCCCCATAGGTAGCTCCACCGAAGGCCCCAGTGGCAGGGTTCGCATGCCGCCCCCACCTCACTTTGGCACACCCCTCACACGTTTCGTGGCCCCACAGGGAGCTCCACCGACGGCCCCAGTGGCAGGGTTCGCATGCCGCCCCCACCCCACTTTGGCACACCCCTCACGCATTTCGTGGCCCCATAGGTAGCTCCACCGAAGGCCCCAGTGGCAGGGTTCGCATGCCGCCCCCACCTCACTTTGGCACACCCCTCACGCGTTTCGTGGCCCCATAGGTAGCTCCACCGAAGGCCCCAGTGGCAGGGTTCGCATGCCGCCCCCGCCCCACTTTGGCACACCCCTCACACGTTTCGTGGCCTCATAGGGAGCTCCACCGAAGGCCCCAGTGGCAGGGTTCGCATGCCGCCCCCATCTCACTTTGGCACACCCCTCACACGTTTCGTGGCCCCATAGGGAGCTCCACCGACGGCCCCAGTGGCAGGGTTCGCATGCCGCCCCCACCCCACTTTGGCACACCCCTCACGCATTTCGTGGCCCCATAGGGTGCTCTACCGAAGGCCCCCGTGGCAGGGTTCGCATGCCGCCCCCACCCACTTTTGCACACCCCTCACACGTTTCGTGGCCCCATTGGGAGTTCCACCGACGGCCCCAGTGGCAGGGTTCGCATGCGTCCGCGCCACCCATGTCGACACACCCTTGACACGTTT